GGGGGGTGGTGTTTGTTTTTTACATGCTGTGTGTTTTGTAGAATGTCATTGACTTTTTTTTTAACTGTTGGAGTATACCAGCTTGCTAAACTTTAGCTGCTCTGGTGTAAATTATTGGACCTGTTAGTCATTATTGTGAGTACATTGCAATATTACGGCAGTGGCAATGAAACTGATTCTCAGAGGAGTCCTCTGTCCTTGTGATTTTGAAACCAAGTTGCACATTTCAAACCTAGCCTCAGCCAGTCACCCTTTCTCTGTCCTGGTTGCTTGCCCAAAATACCTTCCCTCCTTCACACCGATAGTTTCTGTTGGCTGGCAATCAGTAGTATTTGGAGTCAAATCTATAGCATGTTGACTTCTTGTACCTACTCTGCCTCTGTCTTCAGTAAGGATTCACAAACTGGGTAGAACTTAGCCATTCAAAGTGTCTAGCTTCAACGCTTATGCACTGTCCCCAGCTGGGTAAGAAGAAGTTGCAAAGTTTTGTGTTATCCCAGTTGCAGCTGCTTTCAAAAAAGAAAAGCTTAAACTTTGTCTGTGAGAAGTTACTTGTGTAGAATTCATACTGAATGTAAATAAGCCTCTGTAGATCTTGCTGAGGAGGAAGGCAGTTGCATGGATAATAGAGTCATTGTGTGACACTAAATGGCTTAATCAGGCTTGCAATAACTATTCTAAGGGTGTCCAGTATTGTATTCCGTGCTCTTGTCCTCAGATCTCTTGTGTAGTGTATGCTCTGTATATCCAGTAGTATTGAATTGGACTTGCAGTTAGCATTTAAATAATGTAGCCTCAGTTGTTTTCAGCTACAATGCTTTCTTAGTAAAAATATCAAAGATTGGTGTGGGGGAACAAAAAACAGTAAGAGTTGAGGTGATGAACTGTTAAATCACCTTCATGATTCAAGTTAAGGAGTTTTGAACACGTGCTTGCAATTGAGAGAAATGCACTGAAATAATTTGTCACAGCAGCTTGTGGTAGCAAGCATGTTGTCTCAGATTTTTTAAATGGACTTTTCTCTAAAATAAAAGTGGGTAATTGGTAACTTCATAGGTTGAATGAACTACGCCCTTGTCTCATCACAGTGTATGCTCATGCACTGAGTCTTTATGCAACTTGTGTCATCCAAAACCAAAATCCTGGTCTTCCTTCAATCACCCTAGTTCATCTACCCTACCTGATTTGTTACTTAGTGCTTTTCCTCAGAAATAGCTTTAGAACTATCTCCTGGTTTATTTACCTGCCCAACACCAGGTGATTTGGGACTCTAATGCTGTAGTAGTCTTGGTGATAGGAATGATGGACTTCTGTATCAGTGAACAGGAAAAACAAACGGCAGCATTTCCTCCTTCTGGAGGCCAAGAGTCCTGAGGGCCTTGTCTTTCAAGACCAAATCGTGAAATAGCTTGTCTCACTTTGTTGTTGGGGGAAGAAGGAAAAAAAAAAAAAAAAAAGGTGTCCAAAGGCTGTTTAAAATAGTCAGTGGCAAACAACAGTAACTGAGAAGGTGGGATAATGCTGGAGCAGTTTATGTTATTCAGCTTCAAGTGAAAACTACACTTTAGTTACTACTTTAGTGCAAGCAGTTGATTTCCCAGCAAAAGTGCCTTTACTCATGGTGAGGCAGAAGTTTGTATTCATATCCTGAGGCTGCTGCTGCCTGTGGAGTTAACAAGACTCTCCTAAGGCATGATTAAATACCAGGCTGTGGAAATCTTTAATAAATAAGTTGACTTTTAAGATAAATTAGTTATATTTCTTCTAGTGCTCTGTGAAATAAGGGGGATATTGATGGAAACAGTGAACTTGGAGCTTCTGTTAACTGTTTGGGAAGTCATGTCTCAGACAGAGGAAGTCTTTACAATGAAGCAAGTGTCTCCTATGAATAAGAGATGCTGGCTGCCCTCTATGTTCACTGGGTCATTTTTTTTCTTCTTAGTGAAAGGTTGGTTCAGTGTCAGAGAAATTGGTTGCTTCATTAAGCAACCCAAAGTGGGGCTTATACACATGATGATTTTAGTAAATCTAGCCTTAATGTGAGTTGCAAATAAATGTGATAAATATGCAATAACTTCTTTGTAGAAGGGTACTGTTTCTTGTAGTAGCATTGCTTTCTGCTTTCTCAGTAAGGTTTCTAAAACAATGTTAAGTGTGGTGGCATGTCATCTATCTTAGGGGTTCGATCATGCCCTGCACTGTGAACATTTTGAATTATTATTGTTTATGTTCTTATTTCACTATCCTTTTATAATTAAGTATATTTCTAAGTTTAGAAATACAGTTTACATTGTCTTCTGTGAAACCGTGAAGAAATAACAACTGATACAGAATTTAGTTCTGTGAATTTTTATTTTATGGGAGCTAGACACAGAGAAATAAGTAACTGTTTGCATGTCAGATTCGAGAGCTGATGTCAAGATACTTGAAAAACAAACATTGCTCAATTTGAGAATGCGCTGCCTGTAAGGGGTTATTCAAATGTTCTTGAAATTAAAGAACTTCTGGAATAAACAAATGTTTAACAGAAAAACTACAAATGTGTGGGTGCTGGGAATCTAGTACTAGTTTGCAGTTTAGTACTACATTATCTAGTACTACATTATCTCCTTGCTTTAGTTTGAGACTTTTAGTATCTCTCCTTCACAGAATGCTCTAAGCTTTGAAGTCGGACTGAAGAGTGCTCTGCCTAATTCAATGACATATGTTCTGTGCTGAAATGCTATTAACTTCAACTCCTTGATGTACATGCATGCTTTTGAAAGTAGTGTGTCTTACATAGTTTGAAGTCTGGAAAACAGTGGTACTGGCAAGAAGAGTGGAAATAGCTTTATTTATTGCACAATCAAAAGTATTTTTTTAACACAATGTAAATTCTTTAGACCAAACTTGCGTAAATAGTTTCTAATAAAATTTTGGGCCTAGTCACTGTTCCAAGCTTCAGTGCTGTACTCCAACCTTCCTGATTTAATTTGGTGATTTGAGAACAACACTTACCGTGTTTTTCCTTTACTTACCTGTGGCTGTTATAAATCTAAGAGTTCCTTTTAAAAACAAGGAAGGCTTCAGGTCTGGCTATTCCTTGCACTCAGATTGTAATTTCAGATAAGAGATTATTTTTCTCCAACTTTTACTTATTGTAGTAGAGTTGCTTTTGTTGATTTGCTGTTTATAGCAGCACTCGTGTCATTCTGGTGTGAAGAGCAAGAGTCTACATTAAGAATCCAAGCTCTAATATCCTGTGGTACAGGATGGCACTGCTGCTCCATGGGGGACTGGCTGTCAGTGGGCCATTTAAACCTCAGCTACCCGGTTCTTATAAATTCTGAGCAACAGTTTTTTTCAGAGGTAAAGTCAGGTGCCTTCATCTTTTAAATTAGGAGGTTATACTCTAAATGTGTTAGGAAGCTCAAAATTATTGGGAACTGGTACAATAGCCTGTCTTGTTGATTTAAAATCAGTTTATTTACAGAAATGAAGTCTTGTTCTCTAAGTGTTAAATAATCTGGTGCTTATACATGACTTCATAATTTCAGATTGTTATTACAATATTTCAGCTTTTGAAGCAACCAAAATTATTTAAGATATGGTAAATTTCTACAAACTAACTGAAGGTGCTTTTACAGTAAATTAGGCGTGGAAATGTCACTACTCTTGCGTAATAGGTTTTTGTTCTTACGGGTTTATAGCAATAGTGTAGTTCAAGAATGAAGGTAGGCTAAATGCTAGTATTTGCACTGTTCTTAATCCTGTACATGAGCACTGATAGATGCAGTAGGATTTGTGCTGTGTGTGCATTTCACTGTTTCAAGTAGATTTTGAACTTACAAGGAAGACAACATATGTAGCAATTACTTTGGCCATATTCAAGATCACGCAAGAGGAAGTATTCTGGATCAGTAGTAGTACATTAAAATTAAATGCTTGGGTTTTAACTTGTCTTTTTATTGAAAATGTTAGGTTAAGCTAGACTTAACACTATATAGATTCAGCTTTACAGAAACCCTTATCTTTAAATTGTTCTCAGCTCCGGGATACTTCTGGGAAGGAAGTGAAAGTGTCTTCAGTTCCTCCTTCAATACTTGCAGGAAAAAAGAATGCTTGCTTTTAAGTAATTATAAAAATTTCAGAGAGTACAGAATGTTTATATTTGAATAGGTCCACTATGAAGTTTACTGAAAACACTGTTAGGTATTTTGTCGTTGTTAAGCATTTATATTGTTGATCAGAAGAATTAGCTTCTAGTTTCCATTATCGGTTATTCAGTGCCTTTAAGAAAATGATTGCAGCTAATAGAGCATTAATCATTTTAAAACAAGGCATTTATAGCTTTTTACAGATATTGATCCTGCAAACTCAGTTCTCTACAACACACTTCCCACTGTGAGAAAAAGTTACTTTGCAAATTTTTAAGCCTATTTGAGCAAAATTACTAAACTAAGGAGATAAACAATTTATATCTTAGCAGTTGGGTACATATTTTTGTTACGCAGGAAAAGTATGCAGAACTGCATGATTAAGAGCTCTCAGCAAATACTTCCCAAGCCTATACTTAAAACAGGATCCTTAACTTTGTCTGCATGGCACTGCAGTATGTGGAAGCTGTACTTCAGCCCCGAGGAGCAGTTTAGCTGGGTTTGCAAAGCACTTTACCATTAGAAAGCAAAACAGACTCCACAGAAGAAGGTAGGGTTTTTTTGATTAATTTTGGCATAAGGTTGGATTGCTGTACATGTTCTGGGACCCAGGCTGACTCAGGTATTGCTGCCCAAAGGTAACATTTTTCTGTGCAGCACTGCATGCCTCGCAGAAAATAGGGAGCCAGTGTTTTATTATATGGCTCGTGCATGAAGGGTTATGTCTTCCTCCTGTTTGTTTAAAGCTGAAGAATGTGATCTGTTTTCCTCACTGGTATGATGTAAGTGGCATATCGGTGCTAATTAAGTAGAAAGTATGTAGAGTTAATAGGGTTAAAACCATGTAAAGTTACAGATTTTATTCAATTTCTGTTATATTCTCTTGAAGAAAGCTTGCATTAGTCATTAATCAACTCTTCAATTTTAATAAATAAAATCTGTAGCTACCTGTAACATCTGCTGTACTGATGATTGTGCTTTTATTTGTTATTCACTGATTCAGAAACTGAAGCACACCATTTAAAAGCTATAACTAAATTGGCATTTTCTTCTATACTGTAATTTTTCTCTGTAAAATTGAATGACTTTATATGTAAACTTACTGAAGTACTAAGTAGGAATATAAGCATTGCTGATCAGTGTGAAATGTAAAGTCTGTGCTGCTGGTACAGGTTATTCTTTCACTGTAGAATGTGTAAATATTGTCTTATGCCAATCACAGCAGCACTGATTATACATAGTGCCACGAAAAGAAGTATTTTTTTTTTAAAATCAATTGTAAAGGTGGATGAGGGGCCCATCGAACACAATGGAAAGCAAAAAAATTTTTTTCTAAAGTTGTTAGAGGTACTGGAGGAAGGAATTATGTGAACTTCAATCAGTGCTTTGAAAGTATTTATGAAATAGCAATTTTTTTTTTTTTTTGGTCTATATAACTTGTTATTAAAAGAACTGGGTGTGTGGAAACGGTTTCATATGTGCCCTTCCATTTCTATAAAGTGTTTGCTGAAGCTGTAGAGGGTTTGTGGCAAATACTACTCATGGGTTTCATGATCAGGTCTTCAGTGAGTTCTCACTAAGTTTTCATGTCCCTATTATGGGAACAGTGTCATACCATCTCCCTCAATAACTTACCTTGGAGAAAGTGTTTGTGGTACCTTTAAGCAGACTCACTCAACAGTAAGATGACGAGGTGTGGTAAAGCAACCCCCAAGGCAAAGAAACAGCATTAGAAATTTATTCAGAATATAAGAACATTTGTAAAATAAGTATTATAAATGTCTCTGTATAAATAAATGCAGTTTTTACAATTCTATATCAAATAAACACAAAATAGCTATTTTACAGCTAGGAAACTAAAAAGCAGCAACACATTTAAAGCTAATTCAGTAAGGTGAAAAGTTTCTAAAATTCCAATGTATGGTACAATATTAAAGGAGGAGAAAATCCTAATAAAACCAGTAGAACAATACTGACATTAATGCAAACTTAGTCACATGTGCTTTGCAATAGCTAACAGTACATTCAAGCTGGTGAAGATTTATGCATTTAATTAGAAAAAAGAACACACTGTGAAATGCAAAGTTTTGTGCACTCTGGTGACTTAGAAAATCAAACAAACCCACCCTCAGATTAAGAAGTGAACATCTTAGGTTCTCTTGGCAAGAACCACCCATTCTTCTTGCTTTGCAAATGTATTATTTCTGCAACAAGTGTTAACTGACGAAGGTTGCTGTGACTCGAGGTGATTTGCGCACTTGTCTATAAGCTGCTGTGCTGGTATTTGAAACAGTTCCATAAAAGGAGTTATGTTTTTTTGGCATCTATTCTCAGGGTTGGTGCCATTTTAATAACAGGTACACTGGAACTGCAGCTAATTGTTTAATATTAAAGAGTTTTTTCACAATAAGGTAAACCTTTCACCACTTCCCTACTGGCCTTTTCCAGTATGCCAATAAATGAAGCAGTAGCTCCTTGTTTAGGCAAAATAACTGGTCGTCTGGCAAACTATAGCTACTGCTGAGGCTGCACGATACCAGTCTTGCTTTTGGATCTGTAAGCCTCATGGGAAGAAAGGGGGAGTGGCTTACAGTTACTGATGGTTTATCATTTATTCTAAAACACTTTTAGAGCACAATTGGCGGGGAAGATATGCAGTAAATGTAGTAAACCAATGTTCAGTTTATGCAGAAGCAGCAAATCATTAGGCCTGAAAAAGGCACTGAGGGACACTGCAGCTTTTTATGCCTTTAAACCCAGGTGCATTTTATGCTTTCTTAATTTGTATCTTTCCTTTAAAGACAGGTTTCAATTCAAATGCTTTAAGCTTCATTGTATTATGTTTAACAGCTTCCCTAGCGTCCAAGAAATAGAAAAAATTGAGCCTAACAGAAAATCTAGTGCGGCAGTGGTTTCCAGTCACCTTAAGTGAAACATGGACAGTTTGAGATGACCGCAAGAAGACAAACTGTAACTGCATTTTTGCCATGGTACACAGTGGATAATTTTCTTCTGTGTTTCTTCAGAAACAAGTGTGATCAGCTACCACTGAAGCTGATGGCAAGACCCCACATTCCTGTTTGTGAGAAACTTGTTGGCCAAAAAAAGGGAAACACCGTAGATAGATACTTGGCAAAACCATAAAGACAGTAAGAAGTCAATGTGCCTGTTCCCTCAACAGACTGGTTTGCAAAAATTTCCATTCACACCATGAATGAAAAAGTGCAATTATCTTTAGAAAGAGGACTGATCACAACCAATCCCAGGGCATCACTACCTACAACTTAATTTTGAAATCAATCAATGAGCATTGTCTTAACTTGCTGTTGCAATCAATCACTTATGATGTTGGCTTTGTAGCTGATGTATCAGACTCTACAGAAGTAGGAATCACTACCCTAAGAAAAGAAAAAAACAGCAGCTACAGTAATAAGAGATGTCATGAACACCAACTGCTAGAGTTTTAGATGTAACCGAGAATTAACAATGCCGTATTCTGAACACAAATTCCCACAACTGTTTTGGCTGCCTGGCCTAACCCAAGAGTAGACAAAAATGGTTCAAGTCCTCTAAAAATATTTCCTTAGTACTAGAAATTGGAGAAATAAATGAGAGAAATTACCACAATTCTAAATATACTAATAAAACTTGAGGTGCAACTCAACATGTAAAGCAAAAAGGTTAAACAACTCCTGAAATCAGATTCACTCAAAAACAGGCTGAAAAATACAAAGTAGCGGTGTAACAGAGTAACAGGCTAATGAACTTAATGGACTCCAGTTTGGCATGTTAAAAGAAACATGGAAGCTGTTTTTACCTACTTGGTCAAAAAGAAGCAAATTCTGAATGAAACAGGTGCTATGGCAGACGACTCCTGTATTTTGCTCCCTAGAGAAATCAACATGATCACCATGCTTTGCTTAATGTTTATTACCATAATAGGCCAACATTTTCAGTCAGTTTGGTAATACAGTAACATGATGTGACTTAAACAAAAGAGAGAATGTTAGTAACAAAAACTAACCTAAGAAGCTGTATGAAGACTTCACCATTCACATTCTGTTTGTGGCTGTATATCCATACACCTACACGTTTACAGTTTTGTGCCTATATATTCAATATTAAACAGGTACATCTCTTAATAAGTACCTTTTTTGGTCAAAACAAGTATAAAACGAAGACATTCTACCTCTTGATCACAGAAAGCTGTAATAAGCACTACACACATGACAAAAAGGGCCCAGCTTCTTGAAGAAAACCTTGGCTATAATGCATTAACAAGAAAAACCCAACTGTTTCACAAAATAATTGCAAACACCATGCAATATAAATACCAGGAGGTCTCCTGTTTCTTACCCAACCTTGGCACAGACTATCTGGCATAGTGAAACTCACAGCCTTTCATCCTCTTACGAACTGTAAGAAATACACCATTACCGTAGTTTTCAGAAATGCAGCTAGGGCTTCTGTGTTTTTTTTTTTCCCCAAATCAACAGGAGTTTTCCTACCTGATCTGTGCTGTGAGCGGCAGCACTGCAGGTACGGTGCAAAAAAGGCAAACCAGCCTACCATCTCCCTGCTCTGCAGCTGCCTGTTTAGTTGATTTCACCACAGCAGCAAGTCTTGAGGGTACAATACAGAGTTGTGTTCAGAGGGAGCTCAGGGACTGGAAAAACTCTGAAATTATCTCCAAACTACCCAAATTAAAACCTCTTAACATGAATTATTTTGCTACGTGACACTGTCGCCCATGGGACATACATAAAATGGAAGAGAAGCTGTATATAATGACACAGACAATGTACATAATTATAGCACGATAATTCAGGCACTGCCATTTTACATTATGAAACAGTCCTTAAGGTTAACACTTATATTATCCCCATGTCACCTCTCTGGGATCCCAGAGAAGGTGCTTAAGTGTAAGTAAGACTGTCAGCATTGACAGTCAGAGCTTTTAGTGTTTGAAGCTACCTAAAAGTCAGCCTCCAAAAGAAAGAAATTTGTAATGGCACTAAGCATCTTTAAAAGAGATGCATTTAAAGTGAAGTTTCATTGGTGTGTGGTCTAGAGTTCTCTTCTTCTAGTAAAGCTATTCTTTGTTTGAGCATCCTTACTTGTGTTTCGTGTCTCTCCACCATGGCCATCATTTGCGATTCCAGTTTCTTCAGCTTATTTTGATGCTTTTTCTTTGCTTTTTCATAAGCTGCTACCAAGTTGCTGTTAGAAATATGAGACAATACAAGGTCATTCAAAAAGGCTTGTTCATAGCAAGTGCTACAAAAATCTACCCCAAAACCCCACCTTGAGTGAGCTCCAAAGTCTGGGTACTGATCGTCTTCCTAAAATTTACTAGTGCTTTAAAATGTGTTAAATCCAAACCCAGATCAATGCTAATCTCTGCATCTTTTCCGGGGCAAGTACACACTTTTACCAGTAAATGTGGTTCAAGGAGCCAGCTAGAGGTTGCTGATGATGACCTCGCAGAACACTGTTCGTGAGTCAGGATAAGACAACACTAAACATGTCATGATTTACAAAAACATTGCATTGCCAGACTCTGCTTACAAAATCCAGCACAGATTTTGCATTCTCCATTTAAAAAAAATAACAGTTCTATTCAGAAGGTAGCATCTTGTGCTAATTTGTCAGCTGTCAAGTATCTTCTGTGCCTCCACCTTGACTCAGTAGGAAAGCTTGAGATGGGTACTGCTCCTCACCACAAGGGCTTTCAAGTATAATTTATTAATGAAAACTACATTGTGAGTGATAGGGTCCTTGCAGGAAGGACAGCTACAGTCCACCATATTCTCAGCCCATCCAAACACAGTGCCAGTAAAATCTACTGAGTAAGCAATAAAATTTAAGTGTGATTATCGAAGCCAGTCTATTAATAAAGAGGCTGGAGCCAAAGAAAAGGGAGCAGGTTTAAACTACAGTAACAGACTCATAAGTCTGACTAAATGGAGGGGTGGGTTTGTTTTTAAAAGAATGCATTTTCTAGTAACTCAGTTAAGATTAATCTACTTCCCCCACTCTGTTCTTAGCCATGTGGTTCTCAGTGTCTTCCTACATGGGAGGTTTATACCTCACCCATCTCTAACTATAACCTTAAAGAGTCAATGCGTGTGAACGCAAGGATCCAGAAACTGCTCATTAAAGTAGGGGGAGGATTACACTGCATTACCAGAACATGGGGAAAAAAAAAAAAATCAATGGTGTATCCATCTGCTGGTTAGATCCTTTACCTGTTTGCCCTTTTAAGGTCATTAACAAATTCTGCAGACTGCTGATGTCTAATTTCACTGCTCTTCGTGAGTCTCTCCAGAGCACTCACTAACTCTTGCACTCTAGCTTTCAGTTTCTTCTCCCTGGATCAGGAGAAAAGGAGGGAGAAAACTATTTTCAAAACAGAAATAACACTTCAGCTTGCAAGTGCATGAATGTTTGCCCTGTGGTGGGCTGACAAGCTGAAAATATTTTCCTTACTACTACTTGGATAACACAGGAGATAGTTCTTACATTAAACTTCTCCACAGATTGATTTTTACAACATTCACCATTTTAGAATGTAGGATGAGAGGTGTAGCAGACAAAAGAGAAGACAAACTTCTCTGGTGGATCATAGTCTTGTATGGATCAAATCACACCAAGAAATAATCACAGAGATGATACATAAATAAAAATTTAAGACCTGACACATGCCACCTACGGTGTCTTGAATGAGATATAGCAAAGAAAACTACCAAGGGAAATCAAACATCGTCATCGAGTCCAACTCCCCTGCTGTGGGCAGGGACATTTTCAAATGATCAGGTTCCTCAGAGCCCGGTCGTACCTGTCCTTGAATGATTCCAGGGATGGGGCATCTACAGCTTCTCTGGGCAACCTCTTCCAGTGCCTCACCAACCTCAGAGCAATTCCACTGATTTCAGTTACTGCCTCAAATTTATCCGAGTAATTTATAATACAGTCTGTATTACAGTAGATCACTGGTCTGTTTAGGAGGCAGCAAGTTCAGTGGGAAATGTGGCAGTGGGAAACAGAAAAAGCTAAGAAAAAGAGAAGGGAGTACAGACAGAAAAGGGCAAGCACAAGAAATACAGAAGAGAGTGCACAGGCATCTTCTTCTATGAGGTCCCCTTTTTCTTTCAAATAGCCACAGTAGTGAGGTTTAAAATGCCGATATAGTTACTAATACTTACTTACCAATTATGAACCAAAACCTAATTACATTAAGTGTGCCAAAATGGAACTGTAATATTTTTACGTTACAAATATCCCTATGAGGGTAAGAAAAAGCAATCAAGGCAGAAGTTCTGGGGAGGAGTAAGGATTACAGCTTGAGGTTTAAGATGGCTTTAAAAAGGATTTCCCAGTGCAGGTGAGCATGTGGCATGAGGTAGGTGCTTCTTCCCGGGGAGCTCCCTTCTGCAGAGCCGACAGCTACCCACAGCCCGCTCCTATACAGACACGGGACTGTGCCACCTCCTGCGCGAGGGTGCTGATGTGGAGACCCCGGAGTCTTTCTCTGTGACCCATGCTCATAGCACAGCCCAGAGAGAAAGATTTGAAAATAAAAAAAGGGGGATAAGAATGGCATGGAGCTGGGCCAAACTGGGACAAAGTTAGATTTTGCAGTGTTAAACCTTACACTTGGGAACTTTTGCACGTATGGAGACACTTGTCTGCATTATGCTGTCTAGAACTGCTCTGTGGCGATTTGCCTTTCTCTCCTGTTTTTGTTGCAGTGCTGCTGAGCAAGCAAACTGGATTTCATCTCAGTAACAAGACTACCACTAGCTCCCACATAAGCCCACTGAACCCAGCAGGCATGAATACCCTAAGGTTTGTGAAAGCTTCCCCAGCTCTGCAAAGACCGCACCGACGCTCCCCGAAACGCAGCTCCCCAGCCTGCGGTGCCGGGGCTGGCCGGGCAAGGGCAGCATTTTACAGCCAGAGACAAGGACAGCCCATGCGGCAGGTTTCGCTGAGCACCGCTGACGCACAGAAGGGCTTTCACAAAGTCAGCCGGGGAAATATTCCAAGTTAGCAGTTTATCCCAACACAGTGCAGCTGCTGGTTTACTGGCCAAATTAAAAAGGACATAAGAGGGGTCTTGTTGATGAAGAATCATCAGTATTCTTTATGTGTCCTTTCATTGAAGTAACATACTCTCAGTTTTCAAATTACGCAATCTTTCTCCCTAGTGGTTAAAAGCTCACTGCCATCCACTCCAAATTTACATTTTTTTTTTAATATCCTATCTTAGCAGCCAGAAAGACTCAGCACAGTCTACAGTCAAAATCTGTTCTGCAAAGAAAACAGGAACAAAAAAAAGTCCAGTTTTCACTTGCAACAGAAGATAAATAAGAAAAGATCAGACCTGGCAGAAGCCAGACGCGTTATCTAACATGAAGCTGATTTAACATTACCTGCAAGAAAAGCTGTGAAGACACTGCACACAGTCTCATGGGACAGAACCCTGTATAGCCACCATTTACTGCAGCTGAAGTCCTTAACACACCTGCTGAAACAAAAGCTCCATGGAAAGACTTGGAAGAACTCGCCGTGCATGGTAAAGTTTGATTGCTACCGTGACTGTTACCTGATAAAAGTATTATATCACCTGTTGTCTGGTCTTGCACTCACACCTTTCAACCAGTCACATTCAGTCCAAACTCAGATGAACATCAACAGGGACTTCTTTACATTTGGCCTATAACATGCTTGTCCTGCTGCTTGCCAAAGATACAGAGCCAGTGGAGTGGTAAGCACCAGGGGCCTCCACAGGCTAGTTAAATTTCAGACGCTGGTTCTGAACCATCTAGCTAAATAGGTAACAGTGGGTAAATCTACAGATGCCTCACATTTACATTTACACCAGTAAAACACACGTATTCCCTGAGCTGACAAGATCCACACAGTTCTTTTGGCTTTTCTGCACATCTTGGTCAGTGAAAACAGCACCAGCTAGTGCCTACTCCCACCTTAATGTCAGGGAAAGCAACGGGCTGTTTGACAGCATGTGCTGAATGTCCCAAAATCTTACAAAAACAACAGATAGGGATCTACTTTTACGCTTCCTGTTCACAATTTAAAACACACCTATCTAAATATCTTTACTTTGAGAGGCATTTCATAGAACACATAACACCCAAGTAGACAGAGCAGCAACAATAATGGCACAGTAAATCCTTTGTTTTAGTCTGTGAAATGGAGATGCATATACACTTGGTTAATGACTATTACATGCAAAAACCATGTCAGGTTTTCCCCTGGAGTGCTGTAGCTTCTATTTTAGTAGCAGATGAGACAGGTCAGAGCTGTACCTTACTGGCTGGCCAGCAAATGCTCTATCCCTTCGTAAAAATCCCATGCCTTCCACTTCTCTCCATTTCTATCACTAATTACTTACGTTTGGACAGAAAGAATTGTCCTTATTTGTGTCTCTCCAAAACTGATTGCTTAGTTCAGCACTGAATGGGAGTGACAATGAACCCTGAGGTGCTATTTTTATTCCTTTAATGCATTACAGGGTTAGCTGTCTCTATGGGATTTCTAGCACCACTTCACTCTCCTGATTGCTATTACAAATCAGCAGGGTATGAGGAATCAAGCCACTACAGGCTTAGTAAGACAGAATATTTTAAAACAATAGTCCTGGTCATATGCAGCATTCTTCCAGGATGAGAACGTGTCAAAGCTGCGAACCAGAGATGGAACTGCATTTGATGCGACAACCATATGAACATCCTTCCTGGAATGCCGTATGGCTGTGGCATGGCCTTCTGCTGCCAGACAGTCTTCTGGAGTCTGAAGAACAAAGTTGCACAGAAGCTTACACGCCAAACTCACGCTATTGTCGTGCCCCAGGGATGTAACACAGACCACTATGGATCCTGAGAAAGCATTTATGAGTGTATTTTGATGAAAAGAGGAAAGGACAAGAAAGGATTTTTAGGAGAACACTATTTCTGTGAGCCCCCAAGTCACAAGTCAATTGGACTGCAGAAGTCAGCCGAGCTTTTGCTCCCAACAGTTCCTCTCCCAACTGGCTACTGCCGCTGGAGCTGCGGAAAACACAGCCGCGGCACCTCATGTGCACAGAGAAAACGAGCACGTCTTCCCAGAAGAGGGAACAAACTTATGATCTGAGAGCATGGCTTGCTTCCAGCACAAGGGCTCTCTGTTGCAGGGCACTCCAGAAGTCAGCTAGGGAAATCCCTGACTGCTCCCTTTCCAACAAAAAGCTCAGAATAAGTGTATGCGGAGGCCTACAGCCTACTCCAACATCCACCAAAACCACTATTTTCAGTGAAGTGCCTAATAAGCTGGTAGAAAAGACTTTTGTTTCGTATTTTCACAATCAAAACACTCAACAGGCAGTTGCTAAGTGGTTTTCAAGGGCTTTTTGTTTCAGACTTACAGGACGGTTTGAATAGGGAAGCAAGCGGACAGGGCCTAAAGCTTTTTCTGGTTTAAAGGCTAACGCTGCAGAGAGCGAGGAATTCTGCCAGAGTCGTGAAGGGAACTATATAATGTTGGGTACATTTCTGCAGTTACTGTCAATCTAGCCTCCACACAACGACACCATGTTTGGCCCAGAATAATGTAAGCAAGGTCTTGCACGCCTTGTATTTTCCCTCCTGTCTGGGCTTTTCCAGACAGGTTTCATATGCCAGAAGTCTTCTCAGGCAGATTTTCCTGCCCTTGCTCATTTCATTGAGAATTCCCCAGCACTGCAAACAGGAAGCTGCTCTTCCCTGGCACACGGAAAGTTGATTTTTCTGCCCCTGGCTTGGAGTGTACCTAGCTAACTTTCCCTCCTGTGAAAGCACAAGCTATCGCCCCTCTGCCCTGGAGTCAAGAGCACCCACAGCTCTTGCCAAATCTGGAGCAAAAGAGTAGTAATGAGTTCTCTCCAAATCAGAAGGTAAGAAAAGTTTCCCACAGCTGGGCAGAGGAGTCAGGGGCCTTTGGGGCCAAAGTATCCTACGTCTTGCCATCCCTAGGAACGTCCTTTTACCCCCAAGGAGGCATTGCCTGCTACAAGCAGACCCCTTCAAATTCTGGCTCCCCTGTCCGAGTGGCACCATTAGCTTCAGCTCAGCATCTGCCCCTGAGCTCTGCATACACAAAGCCCTGACAGAGCAGAGGGGCAGCCAGCCCACTGGGACAGAGGCCCGAGGTTTCCTGGGCGTAGGTACCCATACAGGCTGGTCGGCCCACAGGCATATGGGGTTTGGGGAGAGAGGAAAAGCACCTCCTGCATGGTGCCCAGCTTTCTGCATGGTCCTCGCTTTGAAGGAGAGGCACACACCTTCTATCCTACACTTCAGTCCTAGAGCTTTTCCTAATGTCCTCCTGT